ATGTAAATGAGAATGTTTTATGCTGTTTACATGCATAATAATAAGTATGTATATTTTTAAATGGTCTATATTGATATACTTATAAGGGATCAGGCAAAATTCTACTATTATACATCTGTTCACAGGTTGGTTTTATTTGAAAGAGTCATTGGAGCCAAGTTTAGCAGCTGTTGCCAACTTAAGAGGAAACCAACCTGAAACCATTCATCATTTTTATGTCAATAATGACAGCTTAATAAGAATGAGCTAAGCGAGAACAACCTGAATGTTTAAGATTGCTGACATAACAGTGAGAGACCCACCTACATTTTGACACTGACAATCTATCAGTGTAAACCTCCAATCAAATTAATCCTTTTGATCATTGCGGTTTAATGTTGACAGAGTTCTCGTAATGGTATCTTATTGCGTATTTTATAGTAAGAACATCTTCTGAGAAACACAAACATTTTCCCAGCATTAAACGAACGTGTTCATAGAAAAAACATACAAATATTTTAATTGTCTTCCTAGAATTACGAACTGCACAGACAAGATTACAGAACAGAAAAATGCTTTAGTGAGTGCAACGTGATTGCCAAGTTTTGATTAGTGGTGAGGAATTCTCTTATAGTATTCCCACAAATACCTGAAAACATGATGGAAGTTTTTTTGTTTGTTTCTTTTTTTAAAAACAGACAAAACAAAACAATGACCGGATTCACAAAAAATGAGAAAACATTTTGTTTACTGTGACAGCCTGAAAGAGGCAATGGAATGTCTGTGGTGCTCAACCAAATCCTACAAAGGTGGATCTGCATTATAAAGTATATTTCAATGTGAATCCCTCACATAAAGTACTGCAGGTAAACATCAAGTAGATAGTTCATAAATAGTTTACATACCTGTTACATTGTGGAGGTTGATTACACCATCGATTGCCCATGCAAACTATGACAGCGGCACCCTTTAATGTGAAACCATGGTAACAAGAGTATAGAGCAACCAGTTTTCGAGATGTAGAGGACAAGATATAATCTCCATTGTTGATCTGTTTAGGAAGGCCACACCGTTTTAAGTCTGGAATTGGGTAAAATTTTCTCGTTAATATGTGGCAGAAAAAAGGAAACCAATTTAAGGCAATGATTTTTTTAAATAATAGGCGAAAGATTCGCCAAAAATTTCACAGGCTGACCTTCGCCCATTTCGTCTTTCCAAGCTTCCAAATTCATTGAGGGTATCTGATCACAGGAGACATAATGAGATGGATACTTCCCCAATCTGAAAGGATCAAGAGGAACTTCTCCTATGTCGCTATTATCACAGATCAGATGGGATAGAGAAAATTTTAAAAGTTCCTCCTTCTGTTGCTGGGTGAACACACCATCAGCTTCCCACCAAAACCTGAAAATGAAAAATACACAAGTTTCACTGAAGCCTTGATTTCATTTGAATGTTCAACCTAGACAAATCTTATGTACCTGTCACCATCACGGAGCACTTTCATCTGCCTTCCAATCAGGCAAGCAAAGAGAGGACCAGTTCTTGAGCCAGGCAAAAGCCTTTCAACAAGTCCTCCTGGATATACATCGATGTTGTCGGGATGTTTGTATATGTCAAGTATTCTCTTAGCAACCCTGGAGTCTCCCACGGCCAGTGACAAATCATCCAATGTCTTAATGCGCTGCAATCCACAGAATTCCCTCCAATCGTTGTATCCTGAAAAGGAATTTTAGCACAGTGTCATTTAAAAGTGAATATATTCATTTAAATTTGGATGTCTTGTCAAGAGTTCTCTTTATGAAGACTACGTACAGGAAGCTATTAAAGCTTAGCTAGAAACAGGAAGAAATGGGACGCCAGCTGTCCAAATAAAACCCATTCAGCAGAACTGCTAGAGCTCACTGCAGCATCTTTTCTCTGATTTCTCTGACACAAAAATGCGATCTTCACCAAATGAAAACAACCCATTGATTTAAAACTAAAGTCTAAGATTGTCTGTCTTGTTTTTAGTGGTGCACAAAGTTGTCTTTCTTATGTCGTATTTTTTTTTATATTTTTAAAAAAAGCTTTTGCTTAAATTAATGCTGTCATTGACTAGAAGTTAAAGACATATAAAGATACAAATAAAGAGAGTGATAAAGATAGCCTTGATAACCGTTTTACTAAAAGTTCCAGGGAAAAGGCATGGTCCTTGGATATGAGATTTAGCACAGCTGCACTGGAACTGCAAAAAGCTTTTTTCACATTGGTAATAACAATTCACAAGAGTCTGATGTGTAAAGTCAGTGGAGTTAAACTAGGCAATGCAAGGTTTTGGCACCTTTCAGACACAAGGCAATTCAAAATGCTTCAAAAGATTTAAGTACAGTAAAAAAAAAAGATTAAACTTGCATGGAAAGTCAATAGAATGCATTGCAAAAAGATAGAAAAACCTTGACCTATGAGTGAGCACGAATGCCACAGACTTTCCTGCTACAGGCATAGGTGCTCTATTAATCTAAACTAGCACTTTTTACAGCTTTAAATATATTCTCATGCAGCATTATATCACAAAATTAGCATTCAGTTTCTTTTCAAAGGCATGAAATATGAAATAACCAGATAACTTTGAGAACACATCATATACAGATCAACTGTTGAAAATGTTGAGAAGAATAGCTAAATTTCCATTTTGTCAAACATTACTTGTAAAGCAATTAATACTTTTTAAATTATTTGTTCTCCCTTTCATCTTACTCCCTTTTCAAGTTATCGCAAAGCTCTTTTCCCCCCTCAAGTACAGATGTTGTATTTTAAGTGAATAACAGATTGTGTTCCAGGAGAATCAGTCTGTGCATATTTTCAGTCATTTTCCCTTTGAGATTTCCTGTCATGTAAAAACGTAACTAAGTTGATGCTCGCTTCCCATTCTATAGCTTTAACATTATTGCTAAATGCTAAAGAAAAGTACTGTGACAAAAACGAATGAAAAGAAAAAAGGGAAGCATGTAGAGTGCAGGTGAGAGAATCAGGTGATATTACTTTCTGATTTCCTGAGTTCGTGTCATCATGGAAGCTGGAAGAAATGCCAGACTGCGGGGCAAGTAAAATCCACTTGATTGATATGATTATTAAACTGCCTATCTGATTTAATTATTTATTAACTCAAGATGCAGGAAGCCAGTGGCTGGCGACCTATCCAGGATGTACCCCGCCATTCTCCCTATGACAGCTACTGTAGATTGGTTCATTCATGGATGGGTGGATCCTGCTTAACATGTGCTTATCACAATCAACCACTGCTGGGCTGCTGTGGACAGTGACTTTAATATCTAATCTTCTTAAATATAAAAAGTTATGGGTTGTTTTTTTTTCTTTCTTTCAATTTGAGGGGTTATCTGTCTCTGAATGAGTTATGCTGCTCTGTAGAAATCCTGGTCAGTGAGGATTGTAGTCCTATAATAGAGCTAAAAAAAAATGAAAATGTAAATACACTTTTACTGCTTCTGCTTCAATTAACAGATTAAGTAGAAGCCAGGTGTTGCTATATAAAAAGTTTAGCAAACCAGAAGCAGAAATAAAATACAAAAGCAGAAATTTTGGAGGTTTCCTGTTTTTAGAGCCACATGAATGAAACACATTCATGACAAATAATGGGCAACAGCTGTTATAAAAGGTTATGACATTCTCACCATTGTCAGACAGTCTTTCTAACTTGATGCAAATTTTTCCTCTTTCTTAACTGCGATCACTTTCAACTTGATTGTAAAATTTATTAATGTAACAAAATGTAGCAAATATAATACCTTTGTTTTTGAGGCAATTCAATTGAACATTTATATAACAAATGGCAATAGAACAATACCTTACATTGAAAAACACACCAAAAAAATAAAACAAAATAAAACAGAACAAAAAGAAAGATTGCAAATTACAACTTCACACAAAGCTAATCTAGTAATTCATTTAATTGGAGAAAAGCACAATCAATAGACAAAATAAATAGAAGCTCACAAAACATAGGCAATTTGGTTTAAGACAAAACAAAACACATCGAACAATGAAAACATAAAAGTTGTGTTTTGGTTTTTTTTGTGAATAGTAATATTAATAATAACAGAAAGAACAAAAAAAAAACAGTTCTGGACTATAAAGTTATCAATGTTAACACATTTATAGTTAAAATTCATTTTTTGAATCAGGTAAATTCACACCATGATATTGACATTGATTGTTTTTAAATGTACCTTTAAATAAAATGACGTGACAGTTTTCAGGTATATTTGAAAGACACCCTGACTTGCATTTTGTTTTTTTATAAGCCTCGTCAGTGCTGCTGAGATATGCAGAGATGATTTTGAAGCAACAAAATTCCACCAAAATCCAGCTACAAATCAAAAAGATGATCAGATGGAAGGTGAATGGTAATTTTGAAATGCAAAAAGAAATAATTTGAATTTAAAGTAAAAATATTCTACATAAAATAAATCACTGACTTTTCAGAAATTATTTTTTAAAAAGCTGTGGTTGTTGCATCTTTCCCTATATTAAAGAAACCAAATTAAGGTTTAAGGTTACATGTCATGATGTTTTGGTTTAGTCACAATGGGAAGGGGCGCTTTGTTTAGATAATGTGTTTATTATGAGATAAATGAACAATCAGGTAAGGATTCACAGTTTATAACATGGGGTATTGTTGATTAAATCCCACAGGATGTGGGCTCCAGACCCTGGTGACTAGAACTAGACACCCCCTTGTGGCAATATTCAGCAATTGTGGTTGATTACGGAGATGAAGGTTGTATTAGCAAAAAACAAACAAACAAACAAGAACAAAATAATTAGTACATAATGGGCTTGGATTGGCAACATTATGAATGAAATGTAGCAGGGATTTATGCACCAGGGGGCCAAAGCTGTTTGAAAGTAGTGCCAGTTTGTATGGCGCAGGCCCCAGTTCCCTCTGTGGTTACTTAGTTTAAGGATATCACATGTAAGTAACATAAAATAAGTTTGTACATTAATATTAGCCTGATAACTGACACTAGCTAACTTGCAAACTATGTAAACTTGAAAGATGATGTAAAATGGGTTTCAATCAGGTTTAAACCAAACCACTCCACTGGATTTAGCTACATTTTGGACAGTGTTTCTGGAATGCAGTAGTAGCTAGACCAAAACAACCAATCAGAATTTTTACATCCAAGTCTGCTTGGTTGTTTTTTGTGGCACATTTTTAATGGTGTATAATAAGAGTTGAGCTTGCAGGGAGCAGAGATGTTTAGAGCGAGAGCGACACACTGAGAGCAGGTTCGCAGATGTCTCTCAGCACACAGAGCAGAGATCTGAGCAAGAGCAAATGCCAACAACTGAGCGAGAGGGGCTGCTATTGTGTGCGTGTGTGTGTGTGTATATGGATAATCGCAAACTCTGAAATACATTTCTTGCACGCGGCAATTAATTTTGTTCGCTCAAATTAAGATTTTCTTTGCTCAAAAATAATTCTCCTCAAAATGCAACATTTGTACTTGCAAAGATTATTTACGTGCGTTCAGAATAGGGCTACAAAAATAACGCCATACGAGTGCCCTTGCGCTTACTTTTCACGTATATGTGTGTGATAGAATTTAGAAAACACATTGATGTAAATTATAAATCTATATCATAATTTCTGGTATTTTTGTTGTTTTGTTTTTATTTTGTTAAATGGTTATTTGCTGCTACTCCAGCCAGCCAGAGGATCCTCCACCGCTCCGCCCCACTCCTCCCGTGCAGCAAGCAGTCAGCAAAGTCAAGTCAAAGTCAAAATCAGCTTTATTGTCAAAGACCATATGTACTGATCATACACAGGAATTTGAAATAGCAATGCTCCCATGGCCCTCAGTGTATAACGAATAACTTAAAGATAAAAATAAAATAAAAGTCTTATGTAGGGGAGACTGGGGATAGTTGCAATGTGGGTCAGTTGTAACACTTCCAATCTCTCCAATCAGGGCTTAGTTTCAAATGATGTGATTCATCCTGTGCATGCCCAACTCAGTTCTTCTATCACATGTGAAAAATTAGCACATTTTGGCAAACACAGACAATTTAAGAAGAAAAAAAGTCATTTGTATGCCAAAAAGTGTTTTTTTTTTTTGGGGGGGGGGGGTTCAATTTTTTTTTACTCTATTTCAATTTCTAATAGCATTATCTGCTTTGCAGTTGAACTCATCAAACTTAAATTATGTTATTTGTATGTCTATGGGGATATAATCTGTGTAGGTCTTTAGTGCAAATGTTTTAGCTGTTGGCTGTAATGTTAGCTAGTTCATGGCTATAGGAGTCTGGGTCAGTTGTAACAGCAACAGCCTGAGGTAGTTGTAACAGTCATGCAAATATTACAACTTACCACAATATTACTTTAAATTATATTAAAAAAGTTGGGGCAATGACATCAGCAGAGGGAGGTTCACTGGTCACCTTTGTACATGCGGTTAATGCCATTGGCAACACAATTCCTCCAATGTTTGTGTTCCCACGCATACTATATGCAGACCACTTTGTCAGAGATGGGCCAGTAGGAAGTATTGGTAGTGGAAATAAATCAGGATGGGTGCAAGGAACCCATTTCCTGATCTTTCTGAAGCACTTTGCAAACCACACCAAGGTAAGCCATGAAAAAAAGTAATTCTTCTCAATGTAATCAACCACATTTTTTCAGCTTCATTGTTATGTTCAAAAGTTGGTGCAAGAGTTGTAGGTTACAATGCCCACTGAGCCAATGAGGCCAAGCTCAAGGAAGACCAGCCAAAATTAATGAAATATTCAGT